AATTTAGTGATTTATGCTGCTGTCCTTCATGTCTTGTCGATCCTTGTCCTCTCCTTCAAACATTATAGATATAATTCGAGACAAGTGATGAAGAGTAGTAGTACAATTGCCGAAGAAAATTTTCAAGAGGAATAAAGACAGGGAGAAAATGTTTGTTGAATGAGAATGATTGTGAACGGGAGGGGCGTGCAATCTGTTGAAAGTGTCTGGTTACAAGTTATACATGCTTGTCATGTTGTCTGTTGGTGATGACCTCATGACTTCATAATATATGATTACATTTAAAAAATATAACAACTTAGTTGCTTGATGTGTTGATGTATTCGTCAATCCATTCTGTTCGGCGATGGCTAGTATCAGGAACCGTGTATATTACTGGGAAGAAAGTCTCATCTACCTCTGTACTATGATACCTTTTATATCGACCATAGATATAACTAGTCTTTCCAAATGGAGGGTTTCGATTGCTATCATCATTTGCGAATTGAACATTACCGTCTAAATAATGAGCAACTAGTGCTCTTCTGTGTTTGTCGAAGGACACGTTTGGCCCAGAACCATGCCACGCATCTTGATGATGTAAGATACCATATGAAGCATTTACATTCACAGTCTCTATTTTGAGATCTCTTGCATCGTCTTCACAATTTCTTACATGATTTTCATACGCATCGTGGAGCGAAGAATTGCGATAAGAAAATTCATCAGAATGGTGAAAGGAAGACGAGCCCAAGTTGTCATTGGTAGAGTTCAGATGAGGTATCGGCCATCTATGTGACCCTATCGCATATTCCAAACAACCGTTTTCTTCATTTGCATCATCTAATGCTATCCATAGGGTAACAGAATTATTCTCGTAGGGCTCAAATTGTGTCGATATGTAAGCAGAATCTTGATGAAAACCTACAGTATTGATATGCTCATGGGCAATATTGTAATTGCGATTGCCAGTGGGAGTCTTCCAAACTATATCATCTTGAGCGATGCGCACACTTTGCCATCCCATCACTTTCGAAATAAATTCTCCTAGATGTTTGTTCAGTACAATAGAAGCAATCACTCTTGAAGCTTTCCAACTGTTGCACATTTCCCTAGCCGCGTCATCTCTGGATATACCTTGTCTCCAATGCCATTCATCTGGAAAGATACCAGTGTCAAAGTTTCCTTGGAACAAACTCGGTATTGTTTCTTGTTTTAACGTTTCGCATGTTGTTAATGACAAGATAGGGATTGTGTTTCCTACATTTATTCTTCCTTCGTCACTGACTTGATAGTCTGGAGCCGATTCACTTGCATAACCTTTTGACTTAATCTGTTCTGATATATGTGATATAACTTCCATATCAGTTTTCATTTTGTGAAATTCTTCCGAAAAGATGGAGGTGGAAGTTGATGAAGTTGTATAGTAGCGATGACAGTTCAATGCAGACGTCTCATTTCTTATCTCAAACATTCGAAATATTCTTTTTGTCAGTCGAAGATGATTTCGTATCATCTCTACCGGTTATTTCAATGAAAATTTATTGTGTGCTCCTTTGATATTTGGTGAAGAACTCCAGTAGATATAACATGTGTGAATGCTAATAGATTCTAGGATTTGAGCATTTTCATAATGGAATCAAAATATCCAATGACGGATTGAGGATGTCGTAGCCGTCGTCGGTCGTCCGTCGGTGGTAACCCATTTCAATTGTAGCTATCTTCCTAGCTTCTTTAATAAACGATTTTCAAAGCATTTCGCTTCATTTTTTATCAAAACTCACGAGTAAAAGCTGTCTAGTTTAAGTTTACGAAAACTGCTTGAGTCGCAGAGATTCCATCAAGTCGTTGTATTTGGCGTTCAGTACCATCAATATTTCATTGTTCTCGTGCTTTCCCATTTCATTCTGCGTAGGCTATTTCTCATGTATCTATATGTTTGTTTGTTCTTCATTATGCATTGAGATTACAATAATGTTAAAGTGTATTAATTAGATTACTATTTTGATTACATTGTATCTCGCCCCTGCAATAGCATAAACATTACTTGATTTCAAATTTGATCCAGGCAAAACCTTCAAATCAAAAACATAGCCTGGCTCCTTCAATATTCTACAATCTTTAAATATGGGAACATCCTCATTTTCGTCATCTACTGATTTCATGTTTTGTAAAGCCATCGTTACATTTTCAGGTTCCCAAAGACGCACAGTTGCATCCATTTTACCCCCCGCAGTGAGTAGGCCTCCGTCTGGAAGGGGGCAGATACAGTTCACTACGTCTCTATGTGCATCAAATACTGCCTTAACAACAGCATTATTCATGTCAACAAAAAATACTGCTTGAGGATTTTTGACGAGAAGTGGCGAGGCAGATGACACGATAGCTTCAGTAGAGCTGACACTGTATGAGGACACAGCTAATGTTGAATCATTGATTGGTTCCATGCTGGCTATACCGCATTGAAAACCTTCACATACAAGTTGCAAATCCACATCTTGATGCCTAGAGAGAGAATCATTGCTATCTAAAGACCATCTAAAAACTCTGATTACTCCGTTTTCGTCTCCTGAAACAAGCTTGCCATTAAAGTCGACTAACTTGGTTATTGGAGCATCATCACTGCCATTAAAAGTAATCCATTCCGTTGCAAAGCCAACATTGCTCCTCTTCGAATCATAAAACCAAACTTGAATACTATGAGATACTCTAGCAAGATTGCTTTGTATCATACTTTCTTGTGCCTCGGCTGCATCTCGTCGCTGCTGAGCAGCTGCGTCTAATGGAACAAGTCGGAATTGGCCAGGATTCTGCTGTCGTGTTATACGAAAGCAAGAGGCAAGGTACGTAATATCTTTACATCCATATACTTTTCCACTGGTCAAAGATGCCGATGTTGTACCTAGAGGTGAACGAAATCCTACCAATCTGTCTCCATCATCCGTCCAAACACTAATGTCACCACTACCACCCGTCACAAATGATGGTCCATTTTCATCGCTATTTGGAAAATTAATCACATGTTCAACACTCTCAACTTGGTGTTTGATATCTCTAAATAATTCTCCTCGGTGCCAAAGATGGATGTGGCCATCATCAAGTCCTGACACAAGAGTACCATCATTCAAAACAGCAAGAGAATTTACATATGCTCTTCTCAATTCCAAACCCATTGTCATTGCTAATTCTCCATGTAACTGACTAGAAGATTTGTCTTCCTTGTCAGCACTATTTTTTAGCCTTTCAATAAGTTTATCTTCAATGTAGTGTTGAGGAAGTCCTGTCACAAGCCTATTATATTGATACATTTCCATTTTGCCGTCATCCCGATTGTCCATTTCTTTCTGAAGAGCCACAATATCAATTTCATGATCTACAACCCTATTTGATAACTTTATTTTCTCAAACTTTTTCAAATCATCAAGTTCATCCTTTGTCATATCTTCCACAAAACGTGGACGTTCTATGAGAGGTTTCTCGACAAGAGTATCTGCACTTCCAATTAGAGTAACTACCAGATGTGTTTTTCGTTTAGGAACAGTGACAGTATCAGGTAATGTATCATCATCCTTTAAGAATCCTTTCCAACATTTTGGTGATAAAAGCTTTTGTCTAGAAATGGGAACTTTAGTAAGAGCTTCTACCTTTGTTTTCAATTCAATGGCACTTTGCCCTGGTTCGATAGAAATATTTCCATCGTAGACGTGTTTTCCCCATTTCAATGAAATAGGAATGCTCATTATGTCAGAAGCTCCTAATTTATAAGCTTTCTGGTAGTTCTGATGTTCTTTCTTTCGTGTTTATTCATCATCTCTTTTCGCCGTGGTTTGTGTATGTACGTACGTACAGATAGTGGTCGGAAAGTGAGATTGGCAAAGCCGTTAAGGGACGGTTTCTAGATAAAATTAGAAAAAATGATTTTATTTTGAAGCTTGTATGTGAATGTATATATATATTTCACTACCAACCCAATTGTTTATGCTATGTGAATATGTATTTGATTTATTTTACTTCTTCGGAACCTCTCTTCATCTACAAGATTGATATTTTTTGTGCAGATTAGATGAAGAAGAATCAAACCATTCAGAAAACAGACTGTTCTTATCAAGCTATATAAAATATGGTTTCATCCATTTCCACAAAACTTCCCTATATTCCCCTCTCCATATTGCATCAAATAAAGGGTGACAGGTCCGTTGAAGAGTCCATTATCACTTCAACTTTTGCATCTGTACCATCATCAAGAACTGCAATAGTATCTCTCATTAATCGTTCACCTTCCATTTCAAATTTGTAGATGGCTCCCTGGTCATACTTGCGAGCAAGATTTACACTGAGATTCAATCCTTCGTTAGCATGACTCTCACGGAAAGCTAATATGAAACCCTTTTCAGATGAGCCATCTTCCCATATACTCGCTCCTTCCCAAAACTTTCCAACATCTGAATAATCTATCATGGATGTTTCAATATCCTTTTTTAAAAGTGCATGTTGCTTTTCATTCACATCATTTGGAAATGTCTGTCCTCGTGGATTGTAAGCTCCGAATCCAAACAATGTAGATTGTTTCACTATTTCAGGCCAATCATCGAAAGAATCATCACCATCATCAGCCGTCCTCACTTTTGTTTGTACATGAATAAACTCAGTGCTGCTGACAGGAACCTTTGGCCACACATCTCTCCCCCCTGCCCATTGAACTTTGAGATCTTCAGTTGATTTCATTTTGTTGCTAGCAGCACAAGTCCCTGCTTTTTCGCTTTGTTGACAGGAAAACGCCCGAATCTTTTGATGAGAAACCAACACTACTAATGTCAAAAGGGTAGTCTTTTTTCTACTGAAATTGCAGGAGGCTATGTCTCCAATTCTTTTCCCTATCAGATGCATATCCACATAAGTTTGTGAAATTGACAAGGTAGAAATAAGAAGTGAGATTGAGATGGATCGATGGATCTTATGTGGAATTTTTAGAAACCTTACAAGAATATCTAATTTGCAATAATGTCCAACTTCGCAACAATGACGCGATGGCCGAGCGGTCTAAGGCGCAACGTTAAGGCCGTTGTCTTCATTGGCGTGGGTTCGAATCCCACTCGCGTCAATAAAATTCTTTTCCCTTTTACTTTTGTTATTCTTCTGCACTCTACTAATAAGTAAGCATCATCTATCGATAGCAACAAGAACGAATTCCATCGAGCATCTACTTCTTAAGATATGCTGCTCCCATTTTGGCCGTCCATCTTTGATCCTTACCATACACAGTTTTTAAGCCTACGAGATCTGTTTGCTTCCATGTCCATTGTCATGCTTCCAGCATTGCCTTTTTTCCACACAGCCGTACCTTATGGAGTTTTCAAACACAAAATTACGCAAGTACATGAGTCCCATCTCACAACCTTCACATCTTTGTCTCATCTTTGAAGATTTTACACTTTATGCATTTAAAGTAGAACTCAAAGCAGTAATTGAATTCTGTTTTAATGAAATGAGATATGAATTTATGCTGCTAAAAAAATCAGTAGTATGTGCAGGTGAAATTGAAGCATCTGATGTAGATATTGACAATACGTAGATGGAGATCTCACAGAAGAATCAGATTTCAAAATATTCACGTAACTTCTTGCTGGCAGATGGCAGATGGTAGATAAATTGAAAGCTTAATGGTTTACTACGTATGAAAATATGATATCAGACTTTTCTATTCCTCTTCAAAATTTGAAAAGACTAAATTTGTGTAATCTAAATCTTGAGAGCAGTAGGGTTCTCATGATTTTAGGTGGAGTATCCACAGGCGGAAGGCACATCGGAACACCAAGTTCCTCTCCAATATCTTTTGAAACAACATCCACCACCTTCACGAACACAAAAAAATCTTTTAGACGTTCCTTGACTCAAGCTTGACTCAGGAGGTGAGTCCTTTTAGAACTGGCGGTGGCCACTATTCACATATGTTTATTCATTTCCAATAATTACCTTATCTCATTTATTTGATAGTTCTCCATAAGTAGATAGAAATGCCACTTCGTGACAAAACTAAAAAGCTAAGCTGGGATGGAAAAGTGGTTGACCCCAATCCATCCGTTGCATTTCAGCAGCTAAAGAAAACCAAAAGCATTCGCCAAGAAGTTACCTTCAGTGAACGTAAATTCGATGTGAAAACATTGGCTCCCGATTTACACCGCGTTTACAAAAATCTCGAGAGAGATTTTGGAGAAGAATATGCACTAACGTTTGTTTTCATCTTTCGCACTGCGGTTGAACTGCACCGTGCGTGGCATATGACATTGCTTACTTCCAAAGTACTGCAACAAATCAAAGATAAGTTTAACATGCGCATGACTTGGGAACTTGGAGTAATCAAGCTCAAGTTTAGGGTGGAAGATGGAGGATATGAACTTCATCGTAAGGTTCCATATGATTATGACTCTGAGTATCAGGATATGTATATGAAAATCGCAGTTGCTTTGGTTGATGGAAGCATTAATGTTCACCAAGGTTTGATTCTGCAATCAGAAACGAAGAAGGGCGAGCACACTGCAAAATCTGGACTATTTCTACGCGACTTCCCAGGAAGATTAGTTCTTTATCCATTGGAGGCAGGTATGTTTATCACTTCTGAAACATCTTTACTGTGACGCTTATCGGAGAAAATTTCTAGTCTCACTTTGAATTATTTTGAAACTTTTAGCCACATGCGCAGTTATATTCTTCTCAGGTGATTGGTTTGATGCAGGTGTAGCTGCAGTAACTGGGCTTGTAGCAGGTATTATTGAATACATTCTCACAACGATTGGTGGAAGCGCAAAGAATCTTGTAGACATTTCTGTTGGAACTAGTACAGGCATGGTTGCAGGTCTTTTCTACAGATTCGTAGGGCAGAAGGTTTGCCTTCCATCAGTATTCCTCGGGACTCTCTATTGGTATTTCTACGGAACTGCATTTGTTCTTGGAATATTGGAAATTGTTTCTGGAGAACTCGAGACCGGAGTTGTCCGTTTCATGGCGGTTGCTGTAAAAACGTTTGTGTTAAGTCTAGGCACGACTTTTGGAATGCAAATGGTGTTAAAGAATTCTGTGGAGGCTTACCAAGATCAAGAAGGAAACTGTGGAAATATTGACCTTGATGAGCACTGGTGGCGTATTCCACTGTATCTTCTCTGTTCTGCATCGGCTCTTGGGCAGTATCGTATGCCAATCAATGTATATTGGAGGGCTTTAGCAGTGCAACTAGTTGGATATGAGGTACAATATCAGATTTTCTTGGAGTTGGCCAAAAGACATGACAAGGATCTACTCGATACAGCAGCTGCGAATGTATGTGGTGCGATAGCAGCTGTAGTCTTTGCAGCATTTTTGTCAGCTATTGTGGACAGGCTCTCTTACTATTATAATGCAAGAGTACTCCAGAGAGAAAAGGGTAAATTCTCTGTTTTTGGAGAGTTCATGTATTCAATTACAGTATTTTACATTCGTTTCAGCAATTGGCTTGGGTTTGGAAAGAAGAATGATGTGACATTCTATCGCATGGCCAAAAAGTTGAAAAAGCAAAGTGAAGAATTGAACGACGCTGGACATTCTAGACAAGAGATCACGTTGACTGCAAATGAAGAAAAGGTTCTTCTCGGCGCGGTTGTAGATGCAGAACCTTTGAACATCTGGGCTTTACTAATGCCAACAGTTTATCAACTCGTGCCTGGATCTTTAATTGCCAAGTTATGGTTCAATGCAATCTTCCCACCACCTCTTGAGTCTGAAATAGCAGAAATCGAAGGTTCTGAATATGATCTCGTGCTCAAAGATCAAGTGAACAATGCTGTTTTCTCGAATCTAATGGTGGTAGCCACTTCCCTTGCGATTGGATTAATGTTTGGATTTGCAGCAGTTGAGTTATTTTCATTCATCTGGAGCAAATTGGTTTGCAAGGATATGAGCAGAATCTCAGAGTCAATGAGATTCAGGATTGATAATAAAAAGGATCGTCTTAATATGAACTATGAAATCGCTGAAGATGATCCAGAGTCTGATGATGAAGCCAACATTAGAGAAAATATTGTCGGAGATGAAGAGGTAGCTTTGGATACTTCTGAAAAGGATAATGAGACAATGAATAATGAAGACTCGGCACTGTTAGGAGCTACAAGCATCATGTCTGGCGGGGTAGAAGGAGATGACAATGACACTGGTAATGACGATGGTAACATCAAATTTCCTTTGAACTGAAGAATCCAGAAATGAAAACATAGTTATAGACAAAAATCAACAATAATGATCGAAATATTTATCATCACTTTGGATCTATCACTTATATTGCTTGCTACCTACTTTTTGGAAGAAATGAAGGGAACAACTTTCTCTGATTGAATTTGAAATCAAAAAATGTATCATATCATTGACATTCATGTTTTTAATACGTAGTTCGTCGTAGGTATGTATAGTACGTACGTTATTGAGAACGAATAGGAACAACAACATAAAACAAGAACCAAAATCACGGAGCACAGTACTATGATGAGATACTTTGAGCATTACTTATTCTTTACTTTTCTACTATCACAACACACCATCCTGCACTTAACCCTTCTACGAGTACAACAATGTCGAATTTATCCACATGGGATGATGAATATGCTAGGATATCGCGAGCGGCTTCACAACTCCGAGCTTCACCACATAGTGGCAGTCAACCTCACCCAACAGCTAGAGCCCATCAAGTTCGCTCAGTCCAAAGTGGGCTTGCACGCTTGAAATCCAGTCTCATGTCAATGCGAAACAGTGGTATGGTGAATTCAGCTGATGTTCAGAGAAGAATTGGGTTGATAGAGAATCTAGAAAGACAAGTTGGCTCATCGACAAGTTCAGGCGGAGATAGTGATCTTCTAGGTCTTGGTGGCGGTAATGGGTCTAATAGCAACAGTTACCATGGTGGAAGTCAGACCCTCGCAGCACAAGCTTTGAGACACCAAGATGATATGATTGATGAACTTGCGAATGGAGTGTCAAGACTAAAGGATCAAACTATGCTTGTCAATGACGAGGCGAACATGCAGAATAGAATGCTTGGAGATATGGATACAGATGTCGAGAATGCTAGAACTGGATTAGAAGCTGAAACTTTGAGAGCCATGAAGTTGAAAGAAGATCAAAGTGTATGGAGACTGTATCTTATTATTGCTGGACTTAGTATCTTGCTCTTCCTTCTCATCATCAATGGTTTAGGTTAAATAAACATCGAGGTCGAAATGCCTTGTTCTTTAACGTTTTTGAAAGCTCAGCGCCAATCTAGTTGATGGGAAAATATAATTGTGAAATAACTGAAACCTAACAATAATAACGAATGTAATAAGTATGATTTTGCCTAGTACTGGGTCTCAACTTCAAAGTAGTAAATTACTGAAGATTATGAGATATATTGATGAGATTTGAGTGTTCTTTTCGTTCCTAAGCACTAAGCACTCACTGTGTAGCAAAAGCTTTGATACTTTCAAGCCGTCTGCAAAGTGAAGAGAAACCCTTGATTCATTTTAAACATTGCTCTACGGTCTACGGTTCGGTTCCTAAGAAAGTGTTGAAACTCTTTTCATTTCTCCCAAACTTCCTGCCTTCTTCAATTGTACATTACGTACTCTTTTAATGAAAATTATGTTTCTCTTCTGATTCATTCAGCTTTGTCATGTTATGATTTCTCATTTCTTTACCAAAACATATTTGAAAGCATTGTAGCTCTCCTAATCAAGTTGAAGACAGAAAGATAAAAATTTGTCAATATTTGCCTAATGGAAGAAGAAAAGATTATCAAAATCAAGCTTTTTATAAAAGTCTCGTTTCTTTTCAAATTACAACCTTATTTATTCATTTTCATATTATAAAATTTCGCATCATTGTAATGGCCCCATCGTTACCCTTGCGCTGTACTGCCCTTAATTAAACCTGGGGAGTTTCTTCTTTTGGTGCTTCTTTACTTTCCGCTTTTCCTTGTGAAACTTCTTGTCCCATTCCATTGACCAACGGAGGTGGCGCTGTTGCAGTATTAGATACAGGCTGCTGTTGCTGAAGGGCTTGCATTTGCATTTGCTGCATTTGTTGGAACTGTTGCTGAAATTG